ACGCTTTTGGTGCTTCGCTGTTAATAATTTTGAAACTATTATTTCTTTTTATATTACAGGCACTTTGCTTTTTCTCAAATATAGCTTTCTGAATGTCAATTTCATGCTTTACATTTCTTTAAAATTTTTTTTTAATTTTTACTCTCATGTGATCGGACTGTAATGCTCGTACTATCTTAAACATTTATTGAATATACAATTAATAATTATGTATTATATTTGAATATTATGGTGGAAATTTCTTTAAAAGATAGCAAATATGGTGAACATCATCCCCAACTCTTAGTTCTTTTGAAGCATACACTTTTTCTTACGTACAATTTACTAAATATTTGATACTCGAAGGTTTGTGAGGTCGCTGATTACAAATCTGCAGCAACCTCAAAAACTCCTAAGTACCCAATTTCAAGTAAATCGTGGGTAAGGCAGCGCGTATGCTTCAAATCATTATTAGATCTTATATAAATAAAAAACATGTTCTTTGATCCACTATAAAAAGTCAGCCATTGTGAATTTCTAAATTCTGACATCTGATTCGGTTTCAGGAAACTCTAAAACATTCAAAGACCACATAAAAGTCAAATTGGATGAATGATTTCTAAATAAACATTTTTTCTCACTTTAATAGGTGTCACATAACTATAAATATATACATATAGAATTGAAATTATTTCTTCTACTGCATCGTAGTTTTAATCCTTAGCATCTATTAGTTTTCTATTTCATTGATGTATTGACTTTTTAACAGCTGAGGAGGATTCAGTATAGCATGTTTTCTATTTCAGTGCAATTGTCACAGTTGCACCGAATTGACGTAATTAATAATTTTGTGTTCAATAAATGCTTAACTATTCCTTCTTATACATTTTTATATTGTACATATAGATTAGATATAGAAAAGTATTTGATAGACGAGTGACAGACGAAATCCATATTTGCTTCTTACTTTAACAAATATAGTTGTTCATACTTCTACAATACTAAAGTCATATTTCATTTTTTTCGCGGTTGTATTATTATAGTATGGCATAGTAATACAATCAGTTCATGTCGATATTATTAAAAATACTGATACAGTATAGAATCACAAGTTTGGACAAACTACATAACATGTATTATGTAGTTCATTATAATTCTGCGAGAAATTGTTCTTTCGTGACAACTTGTTATAGTATATGACTACGTGCATTACACATTGCAATGATGAATATTTTATAACAATGAATTCATCAAAATATGTATTGCAGCCATATGAGCAACTTTTTATCCTTCGACTGCGATTTTATCTCTTTATTTCATTAACATAAGTTGCGTTTACTTGCAATGCAGATAACCTTTAGTAGTTGTTCCTCAAACTTCTCGCTTATCGTGCAATACAAAATCAGGGGATTCATAACCGTATAGGTATCTATATTGCTTTGTTATTCCCATTGTCTAAATGTTAGTGTAATTTATATTAAATGTCACAAGAATTGAGTTTAAAATTTCATCTACGTAAAATATTATTTGAAGACTGAAAATAATATTATATTGCTTTGCTTGTAGTTAACATTATTGTAATCGTTATCCGATGTCAGACCCCTTTTTCCACAAGTGAATCTCCTAGGTGAAGTATGGGAAAAGCTTTCTTTTATAAGCGATACAACCTACGAGTCTGAGTTGTGATCTTGGGCGCCAATTATATGTGTAATACCTCATAAGAGATTTATCTCTTCATACCCGATATCCAGTAACATAATTATAATAGGTTTAGTCATAACTAATATATACCTGACATACATATATTACTATATTTCTGTATGGGCGTCATTATTACTTAAAATCATAATTACAATACGATCTTATTTATGACCGTAAAGGTGTCAGCGATTAAAGAAAGCTTTTGCATCTTTATTCTTCTCTATTTCACATTATGACTGCATACATCCAAGTTTTTAGTATGAAGTGGAGACTGGGTGACTTTACTTTTGGCTTCAAAAGCATCTATATTTCAAGAAAGACGTTGGGAGAAAATCAACTATACTTTTATGACTATGAGGGCAGCCATTACATCTGCTTTTCTTACATATTCGTCAAATGTGGATGTTCAGTACTGTTAGCCGCATAGTATCCAGATTCTTTAATGTATGACGAATGTGGGTCCCTGTGTTTTTCGCGAATTGTTGTTTTCGCACAAAATTCATATTTCTGGATGTCTGGAACATCACACACGCTGCAAATGTTTTCCATAATTGGGAAGCTGACTTTTCGGAAAAATGATGATTCGGAAGGATAATCATTGGAGAAATCGATGGAGACCAATACATGAGGATTAATATTGTGAGACAATAAAAAACATGGAAGAATAGGTGTGCGAAAGTTATTCTTACCTCTGACATCGTGGCACACTGCAGAACTTACGTTTTGATATGTTATAACCTTATGACTGTCTACAGTCGGTCCATGAGTTCCATCTGTTTTTTCGACCTTTCGCAAACAACGCAATCGACAGTAAATCACACGCGGCATTCCATAACATCATGTAAATTTATGTTAAAATAGACAAACAAAATATATTTGAATGTAAAATCATACCCACATATACGTTATAACACAAATTTTATACATAGTCATGTGCCATACATTCTTAAAGATTTCATTGTTTTTAATCTGTCAAAAAATAAAAGCATTAAACCCATGAACTGACTATAGATTGCAGTCTAAGTGTTAAATGTATATATGTCTATTTCCAAGTCTGTATTTGACTATGGTAATCATAAAAATATCGAGTTTACTTTAGGTGAGGTTTAAAATACTTTTCGATACACGCCTCGAAAAAGAGATGAACTGTCCGGTTCACGCGCATTCATTCTCGTGGCTTATCAAAAGAGGCCGCGACCATCGGTATGATGTCAGCCGCTATATGCTATGGTCATATTTCAGTAGTCATTTATTTTGCTCCATAAACTTTTTTTCCTCCTTGTTACAGAAACATCAGAAGGGATACTGGTATAGCTGACATGTAATTCTTGTTTTGTCTTAGGAGTACACTAGTGGAGAAGCGTGAATTAAAGTTGAACATGTTCAAAGAAATCAATGTATTGATAATAATTAATCGAATATTCTTATGTTTTATACTTTATAACGCCATATCTAGGTTATAAATTTAATGAAAGTTCTTTGACAGTTGACATTTCTTTCGTCTTATCTTCGAGCATTGATCCACTTAGGCATGATTACGAATTCGTTGATTTGACTATAGCTTTCTTTTTTTACATTAGTTTGTCTCCATTTGCTCTCCCTTATGTGAAATCGTAATGAGCACAATTAATAGGTGTGAATTTGTATTCTTTAAAGCTGTTTTATTACGATCTATCAAACCAAAATACCACAGCACGTCAGAATTATCTATAATGACGTATCGCGAGTAATTTAATATCGTCATTATGAATTCGCTAATCATATCGAACACTATTATAATTCGAATAATCAATTGTAATAATATTTGTCTAGCTGGGTATTTATGTATTCATACCTTTGATAAGCTACCGAACCCTCTCAAGAAAGATGCATTATTCAATATCAATTGATAATAGTGTTTTGATTACGAATGTCTGATTATAGCTGATATTCGATCGTTAAATATTAACCTTGCTAAAATGTTTTATAAATATACATAGAAAATTATAGGTTCAGCATTAAAAACAGAAAAAAAACTGTGAAACTCTGCGTTTCTGTACGCGTTTCTGGTTCCATGTTTATACGTTTCACCATGAAATTTTACACAACCCGCGAGGACCATACCGGAGTCACATCGCGAATGCAGATTTGTACCGCGTTCTCGGCTTATTTACATTGTCAAGCAAGTCCGTTTGACACTTGACACTACAATTGGACCAGTTAACGATTCACGTTGAGCACTTTCATTGCGCTCAATTCCTCTAAACAGTTAGTATGTGATCATTCTTTTTCATTAATTGCAGCTACTCCACTTAGAGCAAAGAAGAAATAAAAACAGAAAAATGCAGAAAGATTATGGAAGATTATTGTACGCAGCATTCCGTGATGTTTGCGATACGCCTCGCGGTATTTTTTAATGGTACAAAGCGTCATCGTGCATAATGATGCATAGGTCCATTCGAGTGCGTCTGGGGTGGGCGGCATATCAGACGGAAGTTCCTGATCACACTGGCTTCATAGATAGAGGATGAACTCTTCTCGATGATAATGCACAAATGTGCTCTGTGACGATAGATATGATAGGCATGTCACGTCCTAGGCAATACTTGTGATTTTCGAGCCCGGTTTCATTTTTCAGAATTATAATACAATTGTATTTCTATTTGCGTTGAAATAAAAACAGTTTCATCGCAGATTGCAGTGCATAATGCATCAGGATTGTAATCAAATCCAAGCAGTGGGAGTCCATAGCGAAGATAAAGTGAAGAGGCACATGAAATCAAATATGAGTCGAGTCAAAATGTATAACTTTCCACACGTAACCGATCTGAGGCTCAATCAAAGAGATGTAAATTAGTATTTGAAATTAAGTGACGATATGAAACGCGTGCGGACTCACGTATTTGACCGACCGAAAGGAAGCATCCAATTGTGTTCAACGAAAAATAATTGTGTTCAGTGAATGTTAAATTATACTTAAGTAAAATATTGTGTTTTACTTACGTCGATACTGCTTATTGAATTATACACTATACTCCATGCATAAAGAGCATCGTTATTATATAATCTTCGGAAATTAGCGTTCTTTGTTCAATCGTTTATTATTATTTATTATTGGGGTATTGATAGCTTCAACATGTCACTCACCATAGAGTGCCTCGATTTCGCACTTCTGGTTATCTGCACACGAGTTTTTCACTTTGCGCTAGGACTCAGCGCTGAATACTATAAGGTATATTTGCATTGCAACTTGCAATGCTAGACGATTGTTTCTTGAAGATGTCGAACAGTGTAATTATTTGAAGTTTTAATTTGTTTTGTCTTTTTTTCTTCATTTTCAGGCACAGCTTGATGCACATTTGAAACTTCACAATGAAAAGTGGTCAACGGAGGATGTGCGAAAATGCAAGCTTTGCAATAAACAATTTACCCAGCCAGCCCTTTATCGACTTCACATACGAGAGCATTACAGAGTAATCTTATAGCAGCACATTTTTTGCACGATTTACAGTGCGAGTTGTTTTATTGCAATTTTTAATGATGAATCTTCCTATTATTTTTAGTTGCAAACCAAGATAGTGAAACACACAAAAAGAGGCACGAAGCACAAAACTATGTATAAGTGCAAAATATGCCTAAAGTCTTTCCAAAAACCAAGCCAGCTGATGAGACACATTAGAGTGCATACTGGCGAAAAACCCTTTAAGGTAAACCTGAATACCTAGAATCTGATGTTTTCAATAGTAATTTCATGTCTTCTCGTTGACGCCAAAATGTCAATAAAAAATTTCTATGTTCATAGTGTAATGTCTGTAGTCGAGCTTTCACGCAGAAAGGATCTCTACAAATTCACATGTGGAAACATAACGGCATACGGCCCCATGGATGTACATTGTGCAGTGCCAAATTCAGTCAAAAGGGTAATCTGAATGCTCATATACTCAGAGTGCACAGCGTGCCAGAAGGCGAACCAATTTATAGATGCACCTATTGTTCTTGCGTCTTCAAAAAACTGGGTAGCCTCAATGGACACATGAAAAGGATGCACTCAAATCCCGTGGAGGTTCGTTGAGTCAATACACATTTTTAATATATAGAGTCTGTATAGCAACTGCATTGCAACACATGCAATGTGTTTGCATTATTGCATGTGTTTGCATTTGTGTATGGATCTATGTATCTTTGGTGTGCAGGACAAAACGAGTTACGACCATTCCACGGAAGCAGATATGCAAGCCACCGTGGATACTGTAATCTCACAGTTAGCCTCGTTGGAGTCTGGCATAAAGCATTCAATGAATCCGACTGACAACACAGCAGTCCAAATTTGTAAGAATGATATCCTTCAACAAGCACTGAAGAACAGCGGACTATCTAGTAAGGAGAAAAATTTAAACACCAATGGTATTTAATTGACGTTCCTGATTCCTTGTCTTCCATGCATATCACATATATTATTTGTATTGGTCTCTTTAAAGCAAATGTTACAACATTTCTCATACAGGTGCATCAAACTTGAAGAAAGTTGAGGCTGAGACTACTTTAGTGACTCTATTGGACAGAACTACTGATGGTTCCATGAGGTCGATATTTCAATATTAATAAAGATCTTGGCTACTGAACGATATATCCTTATAATGAAGTTTGCTTTTAGGAAGTATATCACAATTAAGCAACGAAGTATAGGAAGTATAAGATGGTACACGTGTTCCTACTGTCATAAAGAATTCAAGAAGCCATCTGATTTAATACGTCATTTACGGGTGCATACACAAGAAAAACCTTTTAAGGTATCCAAACTGAAACACATATAAAGTACTTAATTGATGATTTTAAATTGAAGAGGGAATCGTAATTTATTTTTGTGTGCACGCAAACAATGTTTGAAATGAAGCCTACCATAAAATTGCAGCATGGAAAATACTGTTACTAAATTTATATAGCTCAACTAAAGTCGTCCAACAACTATCTTATTGTTAATTTGACAAAATTATAACTTTTGATATCAATTTCTATTTTCTACAGTTTTCAGTGGTTAAATTGACAATTCCATTTCTAACATTATTTGTATGCACACAAAGATCGGCCACGGTTTCCTTTTAAATTCATGCAATGAATGCAAGGTTTTTTTTCAGTGTTCGCATTGTTTTCGCTCATTTGCTTTAAAGTCCACAATGATGGCACACGAACGTACTCATATGGGTGCAAAGAAGTATGAATGTAACTCGTGCGATAAATTATTTGCGTGTCATAGCAGTTTCACATCTCACATCAGGTTCAGTATTATGCCTATAATTAATTTTTAATTTTATAAAGATACCTTATTGTGCATTTCTAAATATTTATGTTTTCATTAGATTGCACGCCAAGTCTCATAGATGCACTATTTGTGATAAATTCTTCACCTCGAGTACAGTCTTGAGAAGTCATATGAAGATTCATACGCCAGAAAACTCTCAAATATCGGCCGAGGCGGAAATTCTGGCGCCGCAAATCGTCCTGGAGGAACCGCTTATTATTAGCGATGCCGGAAATAAAATCAGTGTTGCTCAGGTTCAATCGAAACAAAGACAAATTTATAATAATGGTGATGTGGCAAGACCGCACAAGTGTTGGGTTTGTCCTGCGGCATTTAGAAAGATCAGTCACCTAAAACAGCACTATCGGAGACATACAGGAGAACGACCATACAAATGTCAAAAATGCGACAGGTATACCCCGTTTCACCAAAAATTTTCGAGCTTTCAACGCTATAACTTAATACTCATTCTTTCAAATATAGGAGATTTACTTCGAACAGCGTATTGAAATCTCATTTACATACTCACGAAGACTCGAGACCTCATAGCTGCTCCATATGTGGGGCAAAATTTTCCACACAAAGTAGTATGAAGAGACACTTGGTGACACATAGCAACAAAAGACCATTTATGTGCCCTTACTGCCACAAAACTTTTAAAACGTCCGTCAATTGCCGAAAACATATGAAAATTCATAAACACGAATTGGCACAACAGGTTCATATTTCTATTTTAATTACATTGGCCACTGCTAAATACAAAACAATTTGTTACTAGATGGTGTTAATATTTTTATTTAATCTCAGCAATTAGAACAGCAGAGAACACCACAGACATCGCAGCTCCCTTTGATAGAGGACAAACGTGAAATTACCTGTTTGTCTAATAATCTTGAATTGACTAATGAAATGGAAGTAACGTTTCAGCCGCAAATTACTCCGGATTTTACTCAGGCATTTTCGGATCAATTCCAAGGTATCGGTATGGATAAGGACAAAACATTCCTCTCTCAAAATGATACAACGCAACCAATAGTCAGTGGTAAGTTTAGCTTTTATTTCTTTCATACATTACACTATACATATTTACTGCTTTGTAATTCATCTGTATTTATGTTAACAATTTTGTTGTTTATCTTACAGAAAGTTTATCTGAAGCGGACACGGTCCCTTTAGGATCATCACAGACCTTGCATGCTGATGAAACTGGCACTATTACACTGCCTAACTATTCTGGCGATCAAACATTAACACCGGTAAATATGAATAGTATTTCATAGAACACATTGTTTAAATTGTGCATAGATTTTAACTTACGGAATGCGAATTTCGTTTTTCAGGAAAGTATACGAGAAATTGAAGAAACATTAAATCAGCAGTTGTTTAATATAGGAATGAATTTAGGTTTAGAAAATAATCTAACGAGGCAGATTAACGAGCCTAGTGCGGTCTCTTTGGATATGAGGGAGCAACCTGTATTAAATATAATATACGACAATAACAAAGGCATAGAATCATCAAGTTCTAGTGCAATTAGTGGAAATATGTTTCCCACACAGTTCGATACGTTTGATATAAGTCATATTGCTTTGCAGGTTAGCACGTAAAAATTTGTATACGTAGGACTTTGATAGATTTTCTTATTGCTTTTAACAAATACATCTGAAAATTGCATTTTAAATTTGATTCTTATTTTATAGGCTGACACCGAACTAGATATAGGAATTAGTTCAGCCAATTCAACAAGTATGGCTAGTATTCTGCCACGATCAGCACAAGAAGAACAACGTCTCGTACCAGCAAAGACAATAGTCAATATTGAGGATGGACAAACAAAAGCATCCAGACACCTCATGGTTGTAAGTTCGACGCAATCTTGTCCAGAATTATCACGACCTGTTCAAGCTTGTCCAAAATACTCTAAAGTCATTGCAAAGGCTGACACGACAGATGAATTGGAAATTCAAAATGTCGACAACGAAGTAAAAAATCGAGATGAAATGAAAATATTTGACAATCATGATGAAGAAATTGCGACGTTTACGTAAGTTATTCTGTTACATATTTATTTTTATACGCGAATATAAAGATGCATTTACAACAGGCAAGAACATTCGATTTATGGCATGCTACAGACAGTTAGATGTTGCCTTTATCCAACTATTTATTATTATAATACATACTATAATTTGTATTGATTAGGTGTGACATATGTGATAAAATCTTCCATAAACAAAGTCAGCTAAAAACTCATATGAAGACTCATATATTACGTGAAAGTGTCGATCAAAATAAAGACGACTTGTTAATAGTTAGCGAAACAGATTCCCTCTTACAGTGTCATATGTGCAGTAAAAAGGGTTTCGCTGCAGCCGCATTAAAAGTAAGTATATTATATTTTCTTCAAAAATGCATATATAAAAGTACGAATATTTTTAGGAACACTTAAAAACTCATCGGGGCACGAAGGAATTCCAATGTACAGAATGTTCCTTAAGATTCTGTACAAACGGTGGACTGAGTAGACATCTAAAAATGCATGCAAGCAGACAGTACGTGATATAATTTTGCATATGAAAAATAGAAAGGCACATAGGTTTGCCTTACGCACTCGTTATTGCAAAAAAAATTAGTATTGTCGACGCTTCTTAGTAAGCGAAAATGCTAGGCATGTGTAAATATGATTGGCCTATCAACTATCAAAACTTCATTTTTCTCATAAATTTTAATCTGATCGATTTAACAGTTTGTCCAGAATTTTGGATACAGTTATTCGTGCCCACGCACTTACAAACACATCCACTAGAATTCATTTATATATTTTTTCTTGCGATAGCGATTCCATAAGATACTTATACATATTTCACATAGTCGTGTCTATCGTTCTTTTTTTTATTTTACAGACAATGGAAATGTACGGTTTGTAACAAAACATTTTCAAGTAAAATACATTTAAAGTCCCACCGACAAATCCATGAAGTCAACTGGAATACAAATTCAATAGAGCCTGATAGTTCGCAAAAAGAGCCATTAACGAGAAGTACGGATTTTCTGTCAAATTTTAATCTTAACGTTACCACAGGAAATGATTCATCAGTTTCCCAAAAAGTCTTACTCGATACCGTAGCAGAAAAGGATATAATCGATCATTCAAATGTAAATTTTGATTTTTAAGTATTCATAAGGTTATGAGACAAACTACGAATACTACTAAAGATATGTTACATTGACTTTTTAGGAACAAAATGAGAAGAAAGAGAAACAAGAGTATACAAACAAGTGTAAATTCTGTCCGAAAACATTTCGGAAACCAAGCGACCTAATAAGACATGTTCGTACGCATACTGGAGAACGACCGTATCAATGCGAATATTGTAACAAAAGTTTTGCAGTAAAATGTACATTGGACTGCCATCTGAAAGTGCATACAGGGAAAAAAACATTTTCGTGTCACGTATGCAACAGTTTATTCGCAACTAAGGGCAGCCTTAAGGTCCATATGCGACTCCACACAGGTCAATTAAAAAATATTCAAAATATCTATTATATAAATGTAGTTATTCGAATATGAATATTTATATTGCAATTGTTAATATTTGAAAAATTATAAAATAATAATCGTTATTACTGTCTTATCTCTAGGTTCCAAACCATTTAGGTGTCTGCTGTGTGATCTACGATTCAGAACCTCGGGACACAGAAAAGTTCATCTACTGACCCATATGAGAGAACACAAAGATGGACCAAAGCGAAAACCAAAGCAGTCGAAGTTTAGCACTATCGCAGGTGTTGCTGCAGAATTGGAGAAGACAGTAGAAAGTGAAATAAACGACGACACTACTATAATTAGTGAGGCTGCACAACCAACCGAGTACTCAAATCTCGATTCAATTACTATTGACACTGCAGAACTTACCGATCAAATTACGTTTAATGCCGATGGCACAATATTGAACAACAATTCCATGTTGTCAGTCAATGAAAGTAACCAATTGGTGGCCAATTTGCATTTCCTCCTTGCAAATGGTCTTGTAACTATTCAAACCGATGAGTCCCTTTTACCGCATCTCCCAAACAGCGATTCCCAGGTCATCCAAACTGAAACTAGTATTACTGAACTCGTCACGTCTGAAGTGCTAGAACACGTAACCTGCACCGACACCAATTCTAACATCGGTATAACGACAGGATCGTGTAACGACGCTATTTCAGAGACTGTTTCCCGAACTATTTCTGAGACTATTCCTCATAATTTACCCAAAGAAATTCCACAAACCATTAGTGATGTTGTTTCTGAAGCGAAAAAAGCAACGTTACACTTTGATCAGTGTACGGAGTTGATGCAGGTGGATAATGGAGATATGAACGTGAATACGGGATTAAATAAGGAGGAAAGCGTACAGAGTGTTCGTAAACAAGGAGCACAGAGTAGTCAGTCCCGCAAGGAGTGCGATATTTGTGGAAAGACATTTATGAAACCGTGTCAGGTGGAGAGACACAAACGAATTCATACCGGAGAGAGACCTTATAAGTGTAATTTATGCACCAAGTCATTTGCCCAAAAAGCAACATTACAAATGCATCAGAAACATCACACTGGAGACAGGCCCCATCCTTGCCCCCATTGCGACTACTCTTTTACACAGAAATGCAATTTGCAAACTCATCTCAAGCGTGTTCACCAGTTAGACACCTTGGAAGTAAAAAAGTTACGACGCGGTCAACAGGTATTAAGTGCTAAGTCAATGCAAGATAATCTGGATGATACTAGAATACTCAGCTTGGATGATATTTCGTTTGTGGACTTCTTGAAGTAAGTATCTTTGGTCAGTTTCATTGCAAAATAAATAGAAATCCAAGTACTGTGTACATAATATTGATCAAGAAATATTATAAACGCGCTTCAAAAACAAATCATGTTTGTGTGATGTTACACTTCTAATTTGCATTATTAACGCTTAATTCCAATTTTATTACTTTACTTTGCAATTAAGAAAGTCTGAAAATGCCGTATTGTACAAGTTTTTGTGAGAAATTCTCCACGATTCAAATGTACATAGTCTGTAAAATAACGATACAATTTAAAATATATAATTGCTCCTAAGGTAGTATAAATATACCGTTTCAATGCGAAATTAAAGATACATTTTATTAAAATTTTGTAATGACAATATTTTGTATCTTATTAACGATACACTTCTCAGTGTTCATTTGTGTTCTTTTCATTATTAGTTATCTATCATGTACAGTGTAACAATTTTTTTTCAATAAACTAACTATAATTATATAAACAATATTAATTTCAATACTCACATTTTGTATAGCCTAATGTATCAGTTTTATATTCAAAGGAAGCTTATGCTCTAATCCCTAAGGAGGTGGCTCCTTAAAAACAAATTGCGACCCTGCTATTGCATCATTTTACCTGTTCAATATTTGAGTAATGAAATTCAACTTTGATCATATTTAGGGTGTAGTTCATAACCTGCTGCGAACATTGTCTTGTCTTTTTTTTTACGTCATATACTTCCTGAATCGACATTTTGAGCGTATTTTGAACCTCAACATCCTAAACTTAAGAGCACATCAGAGGATCTTTGAAGGACATATTCAAATTTGACTGATGATAAATGAAAAAGTGCTTCCATTTTCTATTTTTTAATTATTTTATTTATTTATTTTCCTTATTTTTATTTTCACCCATTTTGAAGTTCAAAAGACATCGTAGGAGTCTCGTAAAGGGTGTCTTAAATCGGAAACAAGTAAAAACGCATATCTCGATATTGGCAATTAATTAACTCAAAGTGGTCACCCATCTAAGGTCAGGAATCCTCAGTTCATCTCTGCTGCGTCTTCATTTTTACTATACTATATATTCGTTTTGTCCATACATGACCAAGGCAGATATATTTTGTGTAAAATGCATCAAAGAAGGAAGTGAACTCTTCTGACTGGTTTTGAAATGATTACAATTATGATTTTATTAGGCCTTAGGTACATCAAATATTGGTGTCGGCATGTACATTTATAAAGGAGTAGAGTGGGCAGTTCTTACATTTCGACTCGTAGACAATAGTATCCCATTGGTACCAAATAGAAAATATTCAGGAAATAAGTAAAATGCGTGTAAAACACATGCAAGGCAAAACGAATGAAAACATGTGTTTGGAGGGGAAACGTGTTGCAATTCTCAACTTCGTGGTGTAAATAGCAAATGCAAAGCCCTCTTGTAAATTATTTGCAACTGAGGACATTGCATTTAATATTTGCATTTGCATTTGGGACATATGTATGTATTGTCTCATTGATAGTGAAAGGTTTAAATTTAAAGGTTCGCAATCTTCCGGGATCGACAGCGATACATTACCTTTGGGGATATATTAAATCCTATGACTACAAACAATTCAAATTACATGACTGCTGTCGCTGATTTTCATATGCTCGAGTAGTCTGACACTTGCAAACCTCATCTAGGATTATGCTCGCATACGGGACTCTTCTCTCGCGGTTCATCTTTCCCTTAAATAAATGAAACAGCGGAGGACATTGAGATCGCCGGACCGAGTCACCACCATGATAGACTAGTCAAAATAATGTAGTCAACTAGTCATACTAGACTTTTTCGGCATTCAGGTAGTCCCTCATCGGAGTAACGGAATCTTGATAGGGACATACTTCCCTAATAGTGATTAAGTGTTCCTAAACTCATTTCATGTCGGCATACACAGGGGATATAAAATTTCAAAAATGGCGCGTTTCTTATTTCCGGTTTTTATACATCTAAAAGAAATTTTAATATTTTTATGAGTCATATCTTTTTATAAATTAAATTTTATTTTATTCAAAATTACATTCCTTTTTCTTGCAGCGAATGCATTATAAACAATATACAAAAAAGAATCAGAGCATTACGTCTACAGAATATTTGGTTGGAAAATATTTCAATGAAAATTACACTTAACATAAAATGACTGATTTTTTCTTCAAAAATGTTAGGTTTATAACCAGTTAATAATTAATTCGGAACTGCGGTGAAATTTGGTGTAGATTGCATTTCCATTTTTTGTTGTGAGTAGCCTTCATCTTCAACGTCCATACATATTTTTCACTGTATAGTTCCAAAAGTGTGTAGCCTACTTTCCAATTATGGAAAGAGATATTTACTTTGGTATTTTCTAGCAGTTGTTCTAATGTTATTAGATAGGGATTTCTTTTGCCGATTTAAGACCTATAGTAGTTCTCATGAATTTAATAATATATTATCTAGTTTGAGTTCTTTATGAATAATAGGATTTCCCTAAAAATTAATTCTATATCCATATGAAGCTATTTTTTCTCCATACAAGTTGCCATAGATAGAATAACCTTCGGACGTCTGATAGGTTCGAGAATGTTAATTTCTCGAGAGGCGAATCTGCTATTTCCTTTAAATAGATTAATAGGCTTGACAGCAACGTTTGTGCCCTAACAATTTCCTGTTCGCACTTTCCCCTGAACTCCTGTGTGTAATATTATTTTAAAAACATTAATTTTTTGTTAATTACTGGTATTGATAGAATTCTAAATGAATGACCAGTATCAAAAATTTTGGAATGTTCATCAATTAATATTGTGCTCAGTATTTCTGCAAAAGATACAATGCAAGATAGATCTTCAGAATTATTTATCACAGAATTGTAATCAACCAATAATGTATGAGACATTACCGCAGAAACGTTACTTTGATAAGTTACGACTCAACTATACATATGACAATCAGTCGAAGTATTTTTACATCCACTAACCAATATAAAAATTCACCTTATTTAAATAATTTATCATCATCATACCACGCAAGTATTGGTTTATAGGTAATGGTGTAGCTCGATATCATACCAATACCGAACTTCCCATCAAATTTTCAACAAATTCAATTTATACTGTAGATTAATTTATGAGAATGATCCATGGATATCATTTATCACGGAAATCTAAAGATTCTTTTTCGATTTTCATTCGTTTTAATTTCCAATAAAACTCTGCCTTGTCCAAAAGTATTAGATCCACTGTAATATTCGTAATCCGTCTTAGGTATGGATTCTTTACTACGCATCCCTGAGAACCAGCTGGATCGGTCATTCAGCAAAACTGATCTACACGGACTAGTCAGTTCCGCCATCAAGTAACGGGTATACTGATACGAATGAGGCTCAAGTGATTATGAAAAGTAAGAGATCGAAAGAAATTTGGGATATTCTCATATCAATTCATGGATAGCAATGCGAAGTAAAGGTGATCAGGAATATACAGTAATGTGCAATTGAAGTGGAACACTCGAATTTTTGTGCATTTCTGCGAAACTATGGTCGATTTCAAAAAACCAAAATCATATTTTTTAGGAAATTTCCTTCCCGTTCGAATGGTAAAGATTTTATCCCGATCGGATACAAAATGGCTGAACGGCAGTGATTGGAGTGAAAAAGTGCATTTTGGAACTTTTTGTAAAGTTCGAGAACTATCAGTTCCGCAAGGAAATTCATATTTCTAATTATGGCACGAGAAAGAGACCATCCTTCTGCATTAAAAAAACACCACCATTGACCTTCTGTGACACCACTCTAGGGGAAGTTACACCCCCTTGAAGTGAAAACACTTAAATGGCCATAACTTCCGAACGCGCCGGCCAATCTGGTACAGTTTCTGCGTGATATCATCTTTAATGATACTGCAGATTTTTACAAAATTATTAATCTCGGAGATGATCCCGTGACAGAGATCTCGAGATATCGCAAGCGCACCCGAAGCTTCCCCGCCATTTTTCATTGGGAATGCGATGAAATAGACGTTTCATATTTATTCCACGTTGTAGCTGAGATTTCAGCGATTAAAACGCGCTTTTAAACATCCAAAAATGAATTTGCTAAGGGGTTGAATATTTCATTTGAAAGAAAGCCTAAATTTTGCGAGTTTCGCTCGAGGCCCTCGGAGGACTACTACCCTACTACCCGCGCCAAGCAATTGTTCCCTTTTATTTTTTTTCTTCATTATCAACTATGCTTATTGGTTCACCTAGTTAACAGTAGTATAAGTTTGGGGGTTCTGGACCAGGAGACCTGTAACCGACATATACCGACACTCCAGAGCCTTCGAAGGTGGGTGTCCGTGCTAAGTTGCCGTCGTGAGCTCTACGATTTCCGGAAGTGACGTCACCAAGACCCCTCGATTCCAAGAATTATCGCTCGATTCCGGGAATTTTGCGCTCGATTCCGGGAATTGCGCACGATCGAGAACCTTCTAGAACATTGTAGAACCTTCTAGAACATTCTGGAAGCTTCGACGGTTCGTGTCCGTGCTAAGTCGGGACGGTTCGCTCCCAGAGCCGGCGGTCCTCTCGCGCGACGTTTTGAGACAGCCCCTTGCCCCCCACCCCGGAAAGCCTTCCAGAAGCTTCGACGGACTCGTGCACATTCGTGCAGGTTTCGGACGTCAGCCCTCAGCCCGTTTGACCTCGAACGTTATCTCGCAGAATTGCGCAGCATCGCTGATGCAATCCTCCAGGAATTTTCCAGAACTTTTGTCCCTAACTTCATAGCGCAGGCTAGAGCGTAGACTCGGTGAATCAGAGAGAGAGAGAGAGAGAGAGAGAGAGACGAGCGGCATCTCCTTTGAGCGCAGTGCCGAAAAGCGGTTTCGGCGACTTTTGCGTCGAGGTTGATTCCAGGAAAAACGATACCCTTCCATGCAGGTTTCGGACGGCAGGCGATTCGACCTCGAACGTTATCTCGCAGTGGTCGAGAACGAGAACCTTACTTCTCGCGGACGCGCCCCTTCGCTGCTGCCTTCCGCAGGATACAACCGTAGTGGTGTATCATCCCCTTTTCCGTCCGGTTTCTTCGGTATCACCTTATCGCCTTGGTCTGCGTCTTGCGTAGATTCCTCAACGATAGGGGGAACGAGATCATTTTTGGATAGGCTTACTCGTCGCAAGAGTTCATTTTCCGATAACTGCGGAATGGCATTGGAAAATTTCTCAATACGTCTGTCAAGTTCAATATCCTCTAGCTCATTATCATAAGGATCTACCCCTCAAACTTATCCTGCACTTCCTCCGGTATCGAGTCTCCTTCTGAAACTGTACCTAATACGACTTCAACGTCTTCGTCGTCTTAAGCCGGACTCGCCCCTTTATCTTGGAACTTCTCCTCCAGAACACGTAGAGATTCATCAAATTTACTGAACGACTCCTGAAGTTGCGCAGTTAATTCGCCCGTGTCGTCCATAGAAGGTATATTAGTGGCCTCTAACTCCGGAGCAG